ACCAAATCTTCTTCTTTCTCCTTCAAAACAACCACAAACTTACAAAAATGAGCACAAGAGCTACAAGGAGGATTAAGGTTAGGGTTTTGGGGGTTTGATAGTGATGGAGGTTGAGGATGAGCAACCCTAACCTCCCATTTTCCATTAAATACCCGCAAAATTTGGGTTTTCCTTCTGCCAGCTGCCACGCTGTGGCCATATGCTTCCACGTCGTGGTGGCTTTAATGAGACACGCGGATGAATCGAGCATCGTCGCGTCATGGTAGTGCCTCCACCATGCCATGGCAACCCTAAAATGCCACAACTGAAAAATAGTAAGGTACCTCAAGATCCGGGTATGACAACTCTACCCCACTTGAATCAGACTTCGTCCTTGAAGTCTGTTGCTTCAAATAACTCCGGGTAATGCTTCTGCATCTCGTCCTTGGACTCTCATGTCCTTGGACTCCGGGTAATGCTTCTGCATCTCGTCACGCCGTGGCCATCCTTAGCCACGTCGTGGCAATGAATCAAACAAAACAGTCGATCCACCCCCAGTTGCCATGACGTGGCGACCTGATGCCACGTCGTGGGCATTGGGTTCAAAACAATTTAATGGGTTCAGTTGTTTCCTTCAGCCCTAAGAGCTCAAAAGCCTAGATTTGGCCCTAAATATGGTTTAGAAGGATAAAGTTTCCAACTTTATCCATTAAGACCACTAAAAAGGTTAACCACTCTAACCCTCGGTTTCACAAAGTCTAAAACGACAAAGACTCAACTATTAAGCACTTAATCCAGAAGGTCCTTAATCCAACTTCTCCAGAATGCTTCTATGACCCCTAATGGTCCATAAAAATTCAAACTTTATGTATATACATGACCCATGCATGTCCTTCTTCAAGCTAGGTAAAAAAGGAGAAATATGACCCAAAATCCAAGCATGGTTCACAACTCACCACAAGAATCTAGATCTATAAGATATAATACTCAAGGGACACAAAGAAACCATAAAGTTGCAAAATTTATCTCTTCAAACCACACCAACTACCCCAAATGGACCAAAACACGCTTTAAAGTGTAGATCTATGATGAAGAGCATAAAAAGGTAGAAGCTTGAGGACTTACAAAGAGTCCAGAATTGCGACCGATCTCTCTATATAATTCAGACACTTGTCCACATGAATGTCCTCCAAAGGAACCACTGCGAAATCATAAATCAAACATTTCCGCAGCTGAGAGCCATGAAAAGTATTATGGATCAGACTGAGCTCCTCTGTAACGCCCGTAGATCAGGGCTAGTCCATTTAGAGACAATGAGCATCAAAAATGACTTTTTGATAGAAGATTATTTAGAATGAATAATCTTAACTAAGTTGTAGTGGTCGCGACAAGGATTCCGAAAATATAAAGAATGTCGAAATCTGAGTTATAGCGAAGAGGTTATGACCTGTCGAAGTTTCACGACAGAACCGGTACGACACTACATGACGTAAATAGTGAATTTACGATAGAGCGATATTTAGCCTTAGTGATCTAAACGAAAGTCGTTGAATAAGTTAAACCGAGAGCGTGCATAAAAAGAACATCCAAATCTGACTTCGTATGAGGAAGTTATGATTTTTCTAAGTTTCAGCTTAGCAGTATGCAGCCCGAAGTTCGAATATGAGATCGAGGGATTTCTAGCCGAAACAATCTAAACGAGAATCGAATATCTCGTCGATAGTAGTTCAAAGGTAAAAAGACAGACGAAAACGGACGTCGGATGAAGAAGTTATGAGTTTATAACGGAGTTTTCCTATCCCGGCCTACTAAAAATAATATAATAAAAATTAAATTCAAAATTACCCGACGGAGTCTAAACGAGAGTTGTAGAACATAATCTCACCTACGCGTGGATATAAAGAACGTCGAAAACGGAGCTCGTATGCGAAAGTTATGAATTTCTGAAGTTCGGGGAGCGAACCCCAACACTATGTCAGAGTTCACGACGTGAAAAAGGGATTCACGATGTGAACTCAGTGCTGACGTCTTCTGGAGCCTGACAGACTGAACATCGCGACTACGCACCTGATGACGTCCAAGGCCACGACGTGAAATGATGGTTCACGACGTGAAAATTGAAAAATCAGCCCTATAAATAGAACCGAAGGGCAGCCGGCCATGGTTGCTAATTCCTTCAATATCTCACTTCCTACACCCTCTCTAGCCCTCTTAAAGTACCCCCGAAGCCCCGGTATCATCCCGAGACCCGAAGCGAGTCCCGAAGCACCGAAGATCCCGAGAAGAAAGGAGTTTCGAGCCGAAACTCTGTCCGCGAGAAGCCCGGTGTGTGAAGATATCCCGGTTTCACCAAAGAATAGTACTTGATGAGCCGTAGTGCTGTCCGAGCATCGTCTAATCAAGTGAGTCTATAGTTACTTTCTTCTAACACATAAATATGAAGTGTTTGCCATGAAATACGTGCTATGTGTTATATATTGTTTGTGTATTTGAGATGGGTGTGGGTTTGATGTTTTATACATGTTTTGAATGATTTAAACTGTATATGTATTTTATATCTATGAAAATGTTGGGTAGAACAGGGGTAGATGAAATAGTTGGTGTGTGATGAAAAATGGTATTGAGTAAACCCTGGCGACTATGCGACGTAGTACCTATTGAGTAAACCCTGGCGACTATGCGACGTAGTGCCTATTGAGTGAACCCTGGCGACTATGCGACGTAGTGCCTATTGAGTGAACCCTGGCGACTATGAGACGTAGTGCCTACTGTAAAAACCTTGGCGACTATGAGACGTAGTGCTTGTCGTGTGAACCTTGGTAGCAATGGACTTTGGATAAATTCCTTAGGTCAATTCTTAGGAATGAATGGATGAAGGATAGTTGATTCTTAGGGTAAATCCTTAAGAAATAAAGGAGATATGGGGATGGGTAATTGGGTTGATTGTTTGATGATTGAATATAATAATTGTATTATTGTGGGTTGAAAACCCTATATGCTCACCAGACTCCCAAGCCTGACCCACTCAGTTTATTTGTATCACAGGTATCGATACGAAGCTGCTTTGCACTGAGAGATTAAAGGAGATGTAAATCACTAGTGTAAATGAATGTATGTTCTGTTTATGCTTTTGGTCTGTATCGATGTGGACATCCCGAGTTTTGTAATAAACGAAAATACATTTCTTTAAGAAATGCTTTGATAAATATTTATTATATTTTGTTTTGGGGACAAATTCCGCAACACCTTTTGAAAGATTACTCTGATTTTATTTTAAAAATCATAAACGAAATCGGTCTTTTCTGGCCGTGAAATGGGGGATGTCACATCCTCGGGTAGATCCAAATGATACATAACCCTACCCACCCGAGCAATAACCTTGTAAGGACCAACCAACTTGCCCCGCTTCCTGAACCGGATGACACCTTACCAGGGTGACACCTTCAGGAGTACCATATCATCGACCTGAAACTCCAAATCTGACCGGCGTCTGTCAGTATAACATTTATGTCGATTCTGTACGGTCTGAAGCCTGTTGCGCACTTGCTAAAACAACTATGTAGTCCTAAGTACCACCTGTGTACTCCCCATGAATCGCTAACCGACCTCACCCTAACAAATCGGGGTCTGACACTTACTCCCGTAGAGTACCTCATTGAATACATATTTTTTCCTCGTAGAAGAGTCAAAAGTTCGTGCATATTGGGAAGATTATGTGAGTCTCCAATAGTTGCATCATTGATTGCTTTGTAGTTGACAACCATGCGCTTCTTTCCTCTTCTTTTCTCTGCTTCTTTGTTGACAAGAAAGGCAGGGGACATATGAGGGGATTTTGATTCTATAATTAGTCTCATATCAAGTAATTCCTTGATTTGTTTGGAGAATTCTTCCCTTCTTTTCTTCTTCCAGAAAGATTTGTATTTCTTTTTGTTTTTATACTTTTTCTTAGTATAAGTTTTCCTTCCAATATCAAAGTTTTTGAAATCAGAGAGAATGCTACAACAATCTTTACTTATTGTTTTGAGCTTTTGTTGTTTATATCTGTCTTGACAGATTCTATCAATTTCTTCCTTTGCAATTTTTGTTGCATAAGAAAGACTGGTTTGCTGGATTTCTCCAGTAGCTTCTTTTTTCCATCTTTCAGTACAGATTTCTCCAATAATTGGAATTTTCATGAGATAAGCAGATATCCATTGTGCATATTCACTTCTCTAGGGAATATCATAAAGATACGGGTCAGTTGTATGTTGTAGGCAAGTGGGAGGCGGACCAGTTATTGACTGAAGGTCGTTGTGTGTATGCGTGTATGTATATTGTGGTATATGATATTTTGGGGAACTCACTAAACTTTGGCTTACAGTTGTGGATTAAATGTATTTCGGGTACTTTTGTTGATCATGTGAAGACGAAGACGTGACTGTACATACTCATCAACAACAATGGTGTTTCCGCGTTATTTTGATAACTTTGGTTTTCTTATAAATGTATTTGAAATGTGAGATTTTTTGACTTGGGTTTTTATGAACATGGTGTTTTATTTTATCTAAAAATGAAAAAAAAAATTGTTGTAAAAATGAGACATTACGTATAATGTCAATATTTTATTGGTGAACAAATCAATATTAGCACTCAATGGAGATAATCTAACATTATGCTACCCTTTGTACCCCTTGGTAATTGAGTGTAGGCGTTGGTGACTTGGTGTTAATAGAACTTTGATCATATTCCTTTGTATAAATTTAGTTTCATGTATTCTATACTTACAAAAAGTAACCAAAGTAATGGAATGATACTTCCCCAACGACTTGATGATTGTTAAAGATTTACCGAGAAAAAAAAATGATAAATATCCAACATAACTTTTCAACAACTTAGTTGTATCATATAGTGAAACATTTGTTTGTGACATTGATTGTAAGATATGAGTAACCATTGAATGGATGCAATTTAAGCAAGGATACATATTCCACAAATGATCATTTTGAATTCAAACTTGATGTTGAGCAAGAACTCCAATAAGACCCTCAAGAAAGAAATACAAGATATATTTTGTTAGGACGAACAGAAAAATAGAATCCAAACTCTCACTAAAAAACCACACACCTGATAACATACAACTCCTAATTCTCTCAATCTTCCAAACACAAATAAAAACCGAAACTTGTTACAATTAATATCTACACTAAATTTCAGGTTTCCCAAGACCCTGTTCCAAGCTTCAACAAAGATGCATATAACAACTCGTTCCAAGTGTCTGGTACACCTGGCAAACACCAATGGCTGCAATCTTGTGATTGCTCTGCAGCCATTTGTTGCTCTGGAGACAAAGACTTGGTGTACATCCGTCTGTAAATTGATGGGTGACCATCTTTTCTGTAATCTGTAAGCCTGCTAATATTGAGATATATCACAGGAGTCTTCATCATTCGCACCACATTCTCAACAGATCGCATTTTTGATGGGTATTTTGTTAGATGACTTGTATTGAAGATTGGTTGGGTTTCTTTGTGACATTGTCCTCCAGAATTCCACTGCCCTCCCCTACAATTTACAAACATGTGCAAATAAGACCCCTTATGATGAAAATGGTCAAAAGAACCATTAACATTTACATACCTAAAATGAGTTAGTGAATAGCCTCTAAAGAGAACTAGTGTTTTTTGGGTGTCGATGTTCTTATCTACCCATCTTGCCCATGTAGAAAGAGCCCTGGTGTACGCATCCAGAGCCTTGAGTCTTGGGTAAACATGGTTGCCTTCTTGGTAATAATCTTCCCTGTTAATAAGGTACAAAAAGGTGTTATGTTAGGTTTTTTTCTGAATATGAAAAAAAATGACCATTTTACCCTTATGTCTAAAAGAAATACGTGTAAAAAGTGAATATGGCATTATACATATATGTAAATATTAAGTCATGTCCCAATTAAGTCAAAAAGCAAAAACTTACACATAACATACAAGTTTTATACTAAAAGTAAAGTAATGATTCTTTTTTACCCCCGAGAAGTTTTGTCATGAGTCCACCAATGTCCGGTGTTGAAGATCAAAACATCAGCATCATGATACATTGAAGTTGTCCGATCCATTAAATCCAATCTTAGAGTTTCAAAAGAACCATGTCTACCTTTGAAAGACGATTCTCTCACTAGAAATGGAGAACCCACAAAATCCACAGTGCAGTTGTAATCCTACACAGATCAGAAGCATCATTAGTTAATAGTTACACATTCTCCAAAACTAGTTTGACTTTAATTCGAGGTCAAACGGACAAAGTTTCAACCTCTAGATTGGTATGAAAAAAAATCGACAATTAGGGAAAAAGTTTGGAATACCAAATCTGAAATTGAATGCAACAAGGTTTGAACTCAAAAGTCAAAAGTGTATCTATCCAAGTTTGGAGTATTGTAATGAAAGCTTGCCTCAAATCTGAAGGCATAAATTCCTTTTTTCTTGAATTCACTTTTTCCTGATATCTCATACACCCTGTTTTTGTTCTTGAGAGAATGTCGAAGTATGCAAACAAGTGACTCCCACATGTTCCTATTTAAAGAGTCTCCAACAAAAACCAATTTCTTCCCTCTCAGTCTTTCCAAAAAATCAGTTGCATTCAAACTGAAAAAAAAAATAATCATAAAAAACATGAAGTGGGTGAGGGCAATAATATTCATAACCTAATCAATAAAATCACTAATTACAACCTTTTTACTACCCATTTCGTTCACACAAAAGATGTAATGAACTTTTTTGAAGATATAACTATTTAGATAGCTTTACATGTAGTTGAGTGCAATTAACGTAATGATTCTATTTTCTATCTACATAAAAGGAAAGGTCATCTAGAAGCATCAAATTTATCTCAAACGTTAAATTTTGAAAGAAAAATCTTTCTAAAACAAGTGTAAAGCTGGTTCTACGTTAGAAATAGGACAAATAGTCTCATTAAATAACTAAAAATTTCTTGATAGTATTGACAAAATAATCTTAGTCAACCAAATAACCGATTGACAATTTTAGTCAAGGGTTTCTAAATGGGCATTATTCCAAATTAGTAATAAGAAAGCCATCAAATTAGCATGCAGCTTCCGGTTTTTTAAGCAATTGCAATTTGCAACTTCATAATCATTCGATTGAGAAACCAAGAAAGTTTAAATGTTTTAAAGAAATTATAAATAACATTACCTTGGTATTTCGCATCCAAATGGCTGCCACCTCCATTTTACAAAGTCATCATCTGGCCGATGATTAAGATGGCAATTAAAATCTCTGTCTACATAAGGGCAAGAACCCGCCGGATAATATGGTTTACTATCATCTTTCACCCATCTTCCATCAAATATGTCGCATTCTTTAAAAGATCCACTGTAACTCCTCAAAATATGAGAATTCGTACCAGTATCAGCGTCCACAAACCCCACTTTCTTCGAAATCCCATCACCTTTGTCGTCGCTCGTGTTTCTTGAAGTCAAATTTAGATCTAAACCATCTGATTTAACACTCGTATCTGCGTTTTCTTGAGCAATTGCACTACTAAAGGTTCCATTTATCAAATGGGTATCCTCAAATTCAATAATTTTTGCAGAAATTCCATGAAAGCTTACATTTTTTACGTTATCGGTGAAATTTCCCAAATGGGTATTCGCTTTATCATCAAAACCGAGCAATTTAAGACTGATATCCACGTTAGAACTATTTGATTCAGTCCTATTCTCGGTAACCAAGATTTTAGGGTTTTGGGCTATTCGTGTGGCATTATCAACAAAAATTGCTGTTGTTGAAGAAGAATAAGTGGAATTGAGAGAGGATGTACTACTAAAAGAGATAGACCAAGCGATAAGAGAAGTATTGTTACTGATGGTAAACCCTTGGAAGAAAAGTTTATTTGAAATTGGGCTTATGAAAGAAAAATTAGAAAATAACATAAATAAGAAAATGAAAAATGAAACGAACCCTAACCCAAATCCAGAAACTACCTTCTTTCGTGGAGATGCACAATTTGGAATGAGATCTAAGAGTGACACAAGTTTCTTTAGGTTCATGGCTAGGACAACACAAGAACACCATGAACAAGTGAAAGAGCTTCCAAGAATCACACACACTCTGACTGTGTTTTTGTGTGAAAAATCAAGAAGAAAAAGTTTAAAGTTATTCAAGGATTCCAAGAGTGAAGATGATGTTAATGTTGTTGATCTAAATCAAAAGCTTCTTTGAAGGTATGAAACAGAGTCGTGTGTTTGTGAAGGCTTTCTTGGAGACACTTTGCAGAGTGCAGGAGCGTAGATTGGCTGCACCACTGCAAAATGCATGCGAGAAGATGATGGAGGGATGAATTACAATAATGCCCTCAAGGTTGATGTCGATGCAGACAACGAACCTCTATAACTGCTCTTGAATGGGTTTTTAAATGAAATTTCTTAACTATATCTCAAGAATAACTTGAATTATGGCGTAAATGTATGAAACAGTCGTCATTCAAAAGTCGCCATTCAAAGATCCCGAAAAAACATCCTTTGAACAATTGAATTCAAGGGTGACAAGTGTCGTCTTATTCATGTAGTAATATAATATCCGGGCTAATTGTATTTCTAAAAATTAAATCTCTTATTTGTGAAGCTTATAACAACAATAAACCCAAAATTCATAATAACAGCGTAAGAAGCAATGTATGAACATTACATATTTGTTATTATAATACGACACAATTTATAAATTTGTTACAATATAACACTTGGTTATACGTTTTGTTAAAAGGTATCGCAAAGATCACTATAAAAAAAGCTTGTCTAAATGACTAAATTTAATTATTAAGAGATCTTAAATTTAAGAATATAATATATTGTTCAAATCTCATAACATTGATTCACTGAAGTAGAAAGGGTTGGGAAATTATCTACTATTACTTTAACATAACTAGTATGAATTAAAAAAAAATTCTCTAATTAAAGAGAAAAAAATGAGAGGGGTATTTTTGGTATTTTAATGTAATAATTTGAAAATAGCTCGCGGCGGGCCGTCCCGAATTGAGGACACGTCGACGGTAGGACATGGGGGTAAAAGACATATGCTAACGTGCGCATGGAGTTGTGTGCCACACCGCCACATGTCGTGTCACTTTGCTATACTTACACCGACTTCCCATGCCCCTTCTTAGAGACAGTTACAGAAAAGCCCTCAAACTATTTTCTAACTACATCTTTCATCCATGTAGAAATAGTTTTGTCATTACATTCACCAAACTGTGAAACAACCAAAGCCGTAGAAACAACAAAGTGAAAATTATATACGAATCGAAAATATATTATAGACAAACGAAATCAAACAGTTGTAAAAATATACGAAATGATAGATGTGAGAGTGAAAACATCATCTACGAACTATACATGTGGATTATAAGGTAACTGTGAAAAAAGAAATATAATACAGTTTTATATTCTATTAAAACAAGGGTCTAACAAAGAGTTACTAACAAGGAGATTCTAAGTTTTATCCTAGACATATACTGCCGTTTTAAAAAAATAAAAAAATTAAATGATGCAAGAAACTTTTTTTTTTATCATCTAATGTAAAATTGTTCGTTTTTACCACTCAATAATATAATAAATTTACTATTGTTGTCAGAAATTACACTGCATACTAGTTATTTGAAAACATATTTTGGAAACTATATTTGATGTTAGTTATTTTACAAAATAATAATAATAATAATAATGTTAGATTTTTTATTTTAAAAATATCGATAATAACTTGGATAATTCAAAAATCGTGTATTGTATATATATTTTTCAAAAATTGTGATTTAGATTTTATTGTCTGGGTTACCACGAAATTTGATTTGGGATAATCAATCGATTCAGAATTCAGGCTTCTTTCAAATCCGAAACACAAATATACCTGTTGTTTTTGCGTTTTCAAAGAGACAAAAAGATGCAGAGAAAAAATATTATTTTAACATTGCTATTTCATTTCTTCTATTTTTGGATATCTATTATCATATCGTTTGCAATTGCACATATAATTATATTCCCAGCTCTGCATAGCTTTGAAATATGGGATTTTCTAGACAAAATTGCAAGAATGGTCCCTGGTTAGGTCGAAATTGCCACTTTGGGCCAAATAGGTTTGGACTAGCACTCATGGTCCAAAGGTTTTCATTTTCTTGTCATTTTGGTCCAATCTACTTTAAATTTTTTGATAATGACCATTTTGCCCTTTGTTTCTACTTTTTTAGTTTTTTTTTATTTATTCAAATACTTTTGTAATTAAAATAAAAATAAAAAAGAAAATATCTCTCTCTCTCTCTCTCTCTCTCCATTAGAACCTGAAGCTCTCTGCATCTACTCCGAGCATCTAAATCACCACCCTCCACTATTCTTTCCAGAACCACCACCTACAGCTACCATCACCCCCTCCTGTCACCACCACCATCATATTCCACCATTATAAAAGAATAAAAAATTAGAAATCATTTTTGTTTCTTGTTTTATCTTCTTGTAAAAGAAAAGTTGATCAACTATGAATCATCAAATATTAAGCATTGATAACCAAAATCAAATTAGAAATCAACAATCTATCTTTGAATGTTCATCGATTTTAAAGCACACAAAACATTCAAAATCATATTACAAAAGCACTAATCTATCCAAGAACATTCACAAATCAGATTTCAAAACTAGATGCAAAAATCTGATGTTAAAGCAAGCCCTAGCGCACACGATGCATCACCACCAAGAAACCCTAGCCGCCATGAACATCCCAGATCTGTTCAAAAATCATATTTTCCATCCTCTATTTCAGTAAGCCAATAAACCTAGTTCCACGAAGCAGAAGGTACTGATTACAAAAGGAGATGAGAAGGTGGAGAAGATGATGAACAATACCTGTATAGAGTTGGTACTAATTTTGAAGATCTGAACTGGAGAGTCACACACACCAGAGAAAACACACACACACACACAATGTATTGAAGATCTGAAACGGAGGAAGCCGACATAAAAGACCGATAAAAACCACAACACAAAAACAAGATTGAAACTTGGATTTTCTGGTGTATCTGAGGTCGAAGATGTTGGTGGTAATCAAACCACCGATCTGTTTTTCCCAGCGCTCTGGTCTCGTGGATGGTGGAGCTCGACGGAGATGTTTGGGCTAGGGGAGAGGACCGATGGGTGAGAAAGGAAAACGGTGGATTTGGGTTTTGAAGAAGATGAAAATGGTGGATTGAGTTCTTGGTATTGAAACAAAAGTTTCCATTTTTTGAGAGAGAGAGAGATTTTCTTTTTTATTTTTCTTTTAATTATAAAAGCATTTGAATAAATAAAAAAAAATTGAAAAAGTAAAATCAAAGGGCAAAATGGTCATTATTAAAAAATTTAAAGTAAATTGGACCAAAGTGGCAAGAAAATGAAAACCTTTGGACCATGAGTGCTAGTCCAAACCTGTTTGGCCCAAAGTGGCAATTTCGACCTAACCACATGGACCATTCTTGCACTTTTGTCGATTTTCTAACATGTGCCCTAAGGGCACATATAAGAAACATTAATTATAACAAATATTATCATAATTAAATATGAAATACATTAATTATAAAGATTATTACTATAATTAAATGTGAGATACATTAATAATTTCCATAATAAATGCATTTCAATTATTAATTATGGTAATATTTTTCATAATTAATGTTTCTTATATGTGCCCTTAGGGTACATCTTAAAAAATCCCTTAAAATATATATCTCAGGTGAAAATAGTTCATCACAACAGAAGTCCAAATGATCTAGGCCGAATGGGTTAAGCATGGAAGAAATATATTCTTCATCTTTACAATGATAGCCACATTTGACAGTATCGGAGGAGCTTGCATTTCTTGAATATATGGAATGGCCTGTCATGCATTTTTCAAAGCAATAACACCCTTAATAAACGTCTTATGTAGAAATAGATTTGTGAGCGATCAACATTTGGTTTAATAATATAAACATTAACTTATACACTTAATGTAATGTGTTAATCCCAATTACTTTGTTTTTCTTATTATTATTATTAATAAAACTTAGTTATCATCGTACAACAAATGAGAAGGCAAACAGGCAACAAGTTACGCTGCTAAGTCTTTTTGTATGGTAAAACCAATTCTTTTGAAGACTACATTCATAGATCTAGGGGATATAACATTGTTATGCATGATCCGTTGTACTCTATTAAGAAGCTCTATCACATCCGGCGTAAGGAAACCAAACGTATCAAATGCAAATGGTATGAACACGTGTTGATTTTCCATGCACGATTTCTCATGTTTAGTGACCTTGCATATAGCAGCTTTTAATGCAGTTTGTCCCGCCGTGAAACCACCAGCCCTCAAGCCTACGATAGTGGATACCCTGTAAGTTCTACACATGCGTTTTCCCTCCAACCCATCCAAAAATAAAAATGTCAGTCGGTCTAAGGGTTGACATTCCTTCTATCGGGTCAGTCAAGAAATTCACATGAGCCTCTTTCTTGGCAGAAACCCCGGCATGCTTGAATATGTCGACCAAGACATCCCAAATCATATTGTGCCTGTATTTGAAACCCAGGAGTTCTTTGCAATTAACTGTATGTGTGACATCCCCAAATTTCTCGGGCCAGAAAAGACCGATTTAATTTATGTTTTAATATAAAATCAGAGTAATCTTTTTAAAAGATGTTGCGGAATTTGTCCACAAAACAAAACATGATAAAAATTTATCAAAACATTTCTTACAGAAATATATATTTTCATTTTATATCAAAACATCAGGATGTCATGTTCCGATACAGATCAAAAGCATAAACAGTACATAAGCCTTACAACAGTTATTTACAACTACTGACCTATAATCCAAAAAATCTCTCATCATCATCCGACTATGCTCGGGGTCCACTGCCTGTAATATAAAAAGCTGAGTGGGTCAAGCTTGGGAGTCTGGTGAGCATATAGGGTTTTCAACCCACAAATAATAATAAATTTATTAATTTCATCAACCAACAATAAATTTATTAATTTCCTCAACCAACAATAACCCTGATTACCTATTCCCGTTATCCTCACATTATGTCCCTAAACACCTATCACAAGGGACCTAGCCTAAGGATCATCATCGGGATGGACACTACTGCTAAGGGGATTCCTCAGCCATACATGTCCTTAAGGCAACCATGAGGGGGATGGAGTACACCAATGAACATATAGTTCACCAACACCTACAGGTTGCGAACCTGCTAGCGTTCCACTGGACTGTCTAGAAAGGTTCGTGGTCGTCATCTATACTCCGCTAGATGACTACAACAACAACATCGAGGCCTCTCATCATTTTAACACACATCAACTATATCGTCTACCCATGTTTTACCCAAC